GAGGACAGCTGGCCGAGGACTCGGGATTCCGGGATCTAGCTTCCCGGGCGCTCAAAGACGGGTTGTCTCTGCCGCAGCTGGGCACCCCGCGTGTTAGGGAACCGCCTGGGCCTCGTGGGCCTCTGAGGCCACGTTGGGCATGTGGTGGCTGGAAGAAGCGCCGCGGGCCGGCAGCAGGTGGGTCCTGATATGGGGACTTCCCCGACCGGTGCCCTGACCGGTGCCCTTCGCTGGACCTCGGGAGCGCTGTCCCAGGAGGGAGGAGTGTTGAGGGAGGGAGACTATGAGTCTGCTCAGCAGAGGGCCCTGGGGTCCTCTCTTCAACCCTGGCCATTTCTTAGCAGAGTGGGAGGAGCAGAGCAAATAGCTTCATCTCCCTCCAAACCTTTTCCCTCACCTGTGAAATAGGGGTCACTAATTAGGACGGGAGAAACAAGCATTTTACAGAAAGTCTCAACATCATAATTCATTAGGGAAATGCAAATCAAAACACAATGAGCTATGCCCCACCTCTCTTAGGAGGCTACTGGAGGAGAAAGTGCTGACAGGAAAGAAATGCTGGTGAGGTGGAGGTATTGAAACCTGTGCACTTTGGGCGGGAGTGCACAGTGGTGCAGGCCTGTGGAAGACAGTGTGGTGGGACTTAACAAAATGAAAGAAAGGGGTCTTCCCTGGTGATGAAGGGGTTAAGTCTCAGCAGTATGGATCCCAGGTCAGGGAGTGACCCACATGGCGCACCAGACCTCTCCTGTCTCCCCGCTGCTCCCCTCAGCAGTGGATTTCAGTAGATCTGCCTTCTCTGTTCCCCACTCTGTCTCTGGGGAGTTCTCTCACCCTCTGCACACCTGGCCTTTAACCCAATTCTACGAGTAAATGAATACATCTAAGAAAAGAAAACCATATGATTAGACATTCCACTTTGGGGTACATGTCCAAAAGAACTGAAAGCAGGGCCTTAAAGAGATATGTGTGTCCCCGAGGCCATGGCAACGGAGTTCTTGATAACGGAGCGAGGGAAGCGACCAGTGGGCCTCCAAGGCCGAGCTGGATGTGATGCATGCAAGCGCTGGTACAGGGTAGCTAGCTGTCTAGAACTGAGCCTCAAAGAGGGAAGGAAATCCTGACACATGCTGCAGCCAGCGTGAGCCATGCAAATACTGTGCTAATTTAAGCAAGCAAGTTGCAAAAAACCAAATCCGGTGTATATTCATGTATGTGAGATATCTAGAGTAGAAAATTCATAGAAAGCAGGATGGTGGCTGCCAGAGACTGGAGTTGGGTAAATGGGAGCTGTTTCATGGGCTTAGGGTTTCAATGTTGGAAGTTTGGAAAATTTGGGGGATTGGTTGTACAGTGATATGAAGGAATATCCTTAACTGTATATTCAAAAGTGTCTTGGATGGTAAGTTGTATGGCCTGTGTATTTTAAAGATTTATTTATTTGTGCATACAGAACTGGGGTA